CTGGAGTGCACATTGGTGGAAAGGGGGGAGGGATAACAAAAATTAAAAAAAGGATGACACCGTGACACACATCAATACATTCTATTGGGGTAAAAAAAAAAAAGTATGGGGGAGACAAAAGAGATGGGGCAGGGATTGTCTGTCCTCTTTGATGACTAGCAGGCGCACTTTATCTACACTACTCACAGGCAAGAAACAAAGGAGGGAGACGGGGGTTGGGGGGGGCCGGGTCTGTCTGTCCTCTTTGTCTACCAGATAAGGTGGGGTCAGGAGGGAGGAGGGATGTCCTTTGTCTAGCAGGCGCAGTTTGTCTACACTACTCACAGGCAGGAATCGAGCAGGTGCGAGCTCATCTTGGAGCTGTCCGGACTGTGGCCAGGCAGCGGCTGCTGAAAGCTGTTGTCGTCGTTGTTGTTGTTGGAATGCTGTTGTTGGTGATGGTGGTAAGGAGGAGGAGGCTGGTCACTGCTACTGTTGTTGTGGGGGTGATTGTAGTTGTGGTTGCCATGGTAACGGAAGCTGTCGTCGGTGCTGGTGATGCTGGCCATGCTGCTGGCGGTGTCCGAGTCTGCTCCGGGGCTGAGTGTCTACACACAGGGGAGGAGGGAGGTCAGGCACCACACAGGGGGAAACACCAACATAAAAGGAGAGGGGGGGGTAGTGTGTGGAAGAGTGGGGAGGGAGAGGGAGGGGGCGTGTGTGGGTGGATAGAGAGGGAGATGGGGTACTAAAACAAAACAAATACAGGCACAAAAGAAGAACAAACAAAAAATCACCAAAAACACCAAAAAAACCACACACACAAAAACCGACAGCAGTATGAAGAAATAACAATTTAAAAACAACAACCTTAAAGCAAATAATATTTTTTTGAATTTAATTCAATTATAAAATAAACAAACAACATGGAACAGAAGTGACGCCAAGGTCAACACACAAAAGAGGAAGTATTAGACAAAGTAGGAAACACACATCATCGGAATATGTTTCGGGGTGAACGGATGGGAGGCAGGGTGGAGAGGGGGGGGCAGCAGGGAGAAAGGGCAGGAGAGAGGAGGAGGAGACAGATAGAGAGAGAGAGACAGAGAGAGACAGAGAGAGACAGAGAGAGAGACAGAGAGAAAAAAGAGAGACGAGAGAGA